TTGGTCTGGCGGGAGGTGGCCTTGTTTCTAAACTGCTTACTTAGACCATAGTAGCATCTGTTGGCCATCACAATCCTTCTCCGAATTTCTAAACTGATGTCATTCGTTTTATTTATGGCGGTACCAAGGTATATAAAGTCTTTAACTACCTCGAAGATGTAGTTCTCAAGTTCCACAGTTGGTCCTAGTCTACTGGACGTCTTGCGCGTTGATACCATCAGCTTGGTCTTCTCGCCGTTTACTGCCAGACCCACTTTGGCAGACTCCTTTTCAATTTGTTCAAAGGTGGCTGCTACCGCTCGCAATGTTCGACCCATTATATCGATGTCATCGGCGTAGGCGAGTAACATGTGTTGTTTGGTGTACAGAGTGCCATTTCTGTTCACCTTTGTGTCTCGTATGACCTTTTCCAGTAGGATGTTAAAAAGATCACACGACAAACTATCACCTTGTCTGAATCCTCGTTCGGTATTGAAGGGCTCCGAGAGGTCCTTTCCTACTTTAACTGCCGACCTTGTGCCACTTAAAGTTATCCTGCATAGCCGTATTAATTTTGCAGGAATGCCGAACGCAGACATGCTTTAAGGATCCCAAGCAGGATCCCATATATAAGGCGTGGATTTTTAAAGTAGATTTTCTTAAGGATCCCAAGCAGGATTCCATATATAAGGCGTGGATTTTTAGAGTCGATTTTCTTAAGGATCCCATATATAAAGCGTGGATTTTTTAAGTAGATTTTCTTAAGGATCCCAAGCAGGATTCCATATATAAGGCGTGGATTTTTAAAGTAGATTTTCTTAAGGATCCCAAGCAGGATCAAATATATAAGGCGTGGATTTTTAAAATAGATTTTCTTAAGGATCCCAAGCAGGATCCCATATATAAGGCGTGGATTTTTAAAATAGATTTTCTTAAGGATCCCAAGCAGGATCCCATATATAAGGCGTGGATTTTTAAAATAGATTTTCTTAAGGATCCCAAGCAGGATCCCATATATAAGTCGTGGATTTTTAAAGTAGATTTTCTCAAGGATTTGAAGAGCTCTAGGCGTGGATTTTTAAAGTAGATTTTTATATTTTTATTTCACTTTCAACAAAATGGCGCCCAACGTTAGTACCATGTAGGTTCCCACATCATTGCAAGGTTTTTTATTTTATTATTAAGTGAAAATGCCCAAGCGATGTTTGTTGTTTTTTCTCTTTTTCCATCTGAATGCACTCCATGTGAAAATCTTCGAATACCGAAAACAAAAAACGCCGACCCATTGGAAAGTTGTGTCTTTGCCACATCACTCTAAATCATGTCCGAACTAATCAAGCAAATGGTGATTTATAGCAGGCGTTATATTTTGGACTTGTATTTCAGTATTTATGGCCTGGCGAATCTGATAAGCGTTGTCGGCGGTGCCATTACCATTTGCGTTGACAAACAAATGATGAATTGCTCGAAATAATGGCTTTCTTTTGCTGTTCCGACCGCCACCCCCGCAATAACAGTGGGGAGTGTTTTCTCTCTCTTCAGACAATGAAAATTATGACATTTCGAAGTTCACAACTTTGTCGCCGAAATGGAAACTGAGCAAAAAAAATGGACAAGACACTTGTTGAGATGACAAGACAACAACAACAACTGCGACGACTTCAAACTAAGGAAAAAATAGGTGCAGTGCCTAAGTTATGGCTTGATTTTAGTACAGAGTTTGTTCGTAGCACAATGCCGACAATGGGGGGGAGATGGTGACGATGATGACGCTGACATTGGAAAATGCGATGACAAACTTAGTAAAACTCCAAAACAAAAAGTATAACCCAAAACGGCTGACACCCGACATGAATCCACAGCTACTAGCATACCAGCGAACAGACAATTGCAACTGCCACAACTTCTGTTGCAACTCCAACTATGGCCAGTCATCGGTTGGCTGGCTGACTGCCTGCCTGCCTCCATGGCTGGCAGTTCGTTTGCTTGTAACTGACATGTTGACAAAACATTTGCCCGGCTGCTGCAGATGATGATTGGTCACACGGCCTCAGACAAAGGCGGGCAACCACAGCGGACTTTATGATCACATTCTCGCGCGCACACTCGCCGTTATTTCAAGTGAAAACGCCCGCGAAAAGAAAACAATTTTTCCACAAAGCCGCAGTCAAACTTGACACACATTTCTAATTGCAAATCCATGACAAGTTACTACACCGACAGCAAAAACAACTTCGAGCGCCAAAACATGGCTTTAAGCGCACGCTTAGCCGCCTAATATTAAAAGCTTAAAATCTGAATCTTGGTAGAAATGAAAGGCAGGGTGACATATTCCCCCAAACGTGGGCTGTAAAAAATATAAACAGCTGTGTCACCTCGCGACAGATTATAGGCGAAATGTTTGTAAACAAAAGCAAATGGAAATCGAAGTCATATAGCCTAGGGAGGCCTTGAGAAAATATACTTCAAAAATCCAGACCTTACAGGTTGGATACTCCTAGAGGAAATCTACCTTCATAATCCACACCTTATAACTGGGTACCGTCTGAGAAAATCTACTCTAAGGCGTGGATTTTTAAAAGAAGATTTTTTCAAGGCTAGCCTAAGGCGTGGATTTTTAAAAGAATATTTTTCGAAGGCTAGCCTAAGGCGTGGATTTCTAAAAGAAGATTTTTTCAAGGCTAGCCTAAGGCGTGGATTTTTAAAAGAAGATTTTTTCAAGGCTAGCCTAAGGCGTGGATTTTTAAAAGAAGATTTTTTCAAGGCTAGCCTAAGGCGTGGATTTTTAAAAGAAGATTTTTTCAAGGCTAGCCTAAGGCGTGGATTTTTAAAAGAAGATTTTTTCAAGGCTAGCCTAAGGCGTGGATTTTTAAAAGAAGATTTTTTCAAGGCTAGCCTAAGGCGTGGATTTTTAAAAGAAGATTTTTTCAAGGCTAGCCTAAGGCGTGGATTTTTAAAAGAAGATTTTTCAAGGCTAGCCTAAGGCGTTGAATTTTAAAAGTAGATTTTTTAAAGGCTAGCCTAAGGCGTGGATTTTTAAAAGAATATTTTTCTAATTTTTTTCAAAGTCTCCAATAGGCGTGGATTTTTAAAAGATTTTTATATTTTTCGAAGGCTAGCCTAAGGCGTGGATTTTTAAAAGAATATTTTTTCGAAGGCTAGCCTAAGGCGTGGATTTTTAAAAGAATATTTTCAAGGCTAGCCTAAGGCGTGGATTTTTAAAAGAATTCAAGGCTAGCCTAAGGCGTGGATTTTTAAAAGAATATTTTTCGAAGGCTAGCCTAAGGCGTGGATTTTTAAAAGAATATTTTTCGAAGGCTAGCCTAAGGCGTGGATTTTTAAAAGAATATTTTTCGAAGGCTAGCCTAAGGCGTGGATTTTTAAAAGAATATTTTTCGAAGGCTAGCCTAAGGCGTGGATTTTTAAAAGAATATTTTTCGAAGGCTAGCCTAAGGCGTGGATTTTTAAAAGAATATTTTTCGAAGGCTAGCCTAAGGCGTGGATTTTTAAAAGAATATTTTTCGAAGGCTAGCCTAAGGCGTGGATTTTTAAAAGAATATTTTTCGAAGGCTAGCCTAAGGCGTGGATTTTTAAAAGAATATTTTTTCAAGGCTAGCCTAAGGCGTGGATTTTTAAAAGAATATTTTTCGAAGGCTAGCCTAAGGCGTGGATTTTTAAAAGAATATTTTTCGAAGGCTAGCCTAAGGCGTGGATTTTTAAAAGAATATTTTTCGAAGGCTAGCCTAAGGCGTGGATTTTTAAAAGAATATTTTTCGAAGGCTAGCCTAAGGCGTGGATTTTTAAAAGAATATTTTTCGAAGGCTAGCCTAAGGCGTGGATTTTTAAAAGAATATTTTTCGAAGGCTAGCCTAAGGCGTGGATTTTTAAAAGAATATTTTTCTAAAGGCGTGGATTTTTAAAAGAAGATTTTTTTTTAAAAGAAGGCTAGCCTAAGGCGTGGATTTTTAAAAGAATATTTTTCGAAGGCTAGCCTAAGGCGTGGATTTTTAAAAGAATATTTTTTCAAGGCTAGCCTAAGGCGTGGATTTTTAAAAGAAGATTTTTTCAAGGCTAGCCTAAGGCGTGGATTTTTAAAAGAAGATTTTTTCAAGGCTAGCCTAAGGCGTGGATTTTTAAAAGAAGATTTTTTCAAGGCTAGCCTAAGGCGTGGATTTTTAAAAGAAGATTTTTTCAAGGCTAGCCTAAGGCGTGGATTTTTAAAAGAAGATTTTTTCAAGGCTAGCCTAAGGCGTGGATTTTTAAAAGAAGATTTTTTCAAGGCTAGCCTAAGGCGTGGATTTTTAAAAGAAGATTTTTTCAAGGCTAGCCTAAGGCGTGGATTTTTAAAAGAAGATTTTTTCAAGGCTAGCCTAAGGCGTGGATTTTTAAAAGAAGATTTTTTCAAGGCTAGCCTAAGGCGTGGATTTTTAAAAGAAGATTTTTTCAAGGCTAGCCTAAGGCGTGGATTTTTAAAAGAAGATTTTTCAAGGCTAGCCTAAGGCGTGGATTTTTAAAAGAAGATTTTTTCAAGGCTAGCCTAAGGCGTGGATTTTTAAAAGAAGATTTTTTCAAGGCTAACCTAAGGCGTGGATTTTTAAAAGAAGATTTTTTTCAAGGCTAACCTAAGGCGTGGATTTTTAAAAGAAGATTTTTTCAAGGCTAGCCTAAGGCGTGGATTTTTAAAAGAAGATTTTTTCAAGGCTAGCCTAAGGCGTGGATTTTTAAAAGAAGATTTTTTCAAGGCTAGCCTAAGGCGTGGATTTTTAAAAGAATAGTTTTTCAAGGCTAGCCTAAGGCGTGGATTTTTAAAAGAATAGTTTTTCAAGGCTAGCCTAAGGCGTGGATTTTTAAAAGAATAGTTTTTCAAGGCTAGCCTAAGGCGTGGATTTTTAAAAGAATAGTTTTTCAAGGCTAGCCTAAGGCGTGGATTTTTAAAAGAATATTTTTTTTCAAGTAGCCTGAATTTTTTTATTTTTTTTTTACTTTTTTCATTTTTTTTTACTTTTTTCCCCTACTTTTAGAATTTAATCGATTTAAAAATCGAGGAGAATCAAAACCACACCCTTGAGGAAATACAAAAAATCTGCCAGCAGGTGATACGCTATTCGGTGAAAACCAGTCATGGTCGTTTCCACAATCAGTTATTTGGACAAATGGATCCATATGGCTTGGCGGGCAGTTGGATCACGGAGGCCCTCAACACAAGTGCGTAAGTTTGCCAAAAAAAGAACAGGACGAAGATGGAAAGTCTCCTGGGGAGATGAGCCGACCACACCCAACCAATGACATGTTTTCCCCTCTCTCTCTCCTCCTTGCCTTTTTCAGATACACATTTGAAGTGGCGCCAGTCTTTAGCCTGATCGAAACCGAAATTGTGCGCAAAGTTTGTGAGCTGTGCGGCTATGGTCAAGGTGATGGCATTTTTTCGCCTGGCGGATCAATTTCAAATATGTGAGTATCGGATGTTTTGAAACAGAAAAAAAATAAAAATAAAAACAAATTTTGCGAGGCTGAGAGAATTCCACTGAAGTGTTGCTATGACCTGAGGCCATAAATCATAACGAGGCGAGCTTGGAGCGGCACACTTGATGTCCATACATACATAAAGGGGCACTTGACATTTTGAGAGATTGAGCCGAAATGCAAAAACCAAAAAAAAAAAAAAAAAAAAAAATTTCAGAAAAAAATTGTCAAAATAATGACCATGGTCAAAATTAATTAACTGTTGTTATTGTTGTTGATACATGGCCTTTACTGCTACAACAACAAAAACAAAATTGAAAAAATATTTATTTGCCTAATTTTGTTTTTCAGGTATGGCATTGTTTTGGCCCGCTATAGACAATTTCCAGAAATCAAATCGAAGGGTATGTTCGGCATTCCACCCATGGTCATCTTCACTTCGGAAGAGTCCCACTATAGTTTTAAGAAGGCCGCCCATTGGTTGGGCTTTGGTGTGGATAATTGTGTCATGGTCAAGACCAATGACAAGGGGCAAATGTTACCCGAAGATTTGGAGCGGAAAATTCTGGAAGCCAAGTCCCAGGGCAAGGTTCCGTTGTTTGTCAATGCCACAGCAGGAACCACGGTGCTGGGAGCCTTTGATGATTTCAGCCGGATAGCTGAGGTTTGCCAGAGGCATAATTTGTGGATGCATGTTGATGTGAGTAAATTTTTTCAAGGCGTGGATTTTTATAAAAATATATTTTCAAGGCGTGGATTTTTATAAAAATATTTTTTCAAGGCGTGGATTTTTATAAAAAAAAAATTTCAAGGCGTGGATTTTTATAAAAATATTTTTTCAAGGCGTGGATTTTTATAAAAATATTTTTTCAAGGCGTGGATTTTTATAAAAATATTTTTTCAAGGCGTGGATTTTTATAAAAATATTTTTTTCAAGGCGTGGATTTTTATAAAAATATTTTTTTAAAGGCGTGGATTTTTATAAAAATATTTTTTTCAAGGCGTGGATTTTTATAAAAATATTTTTTTCAAGGCGTGGATTTTTATAAAAATATTTTTTTCAAGGCGTGGATTTTTATAAAAATATTTTTTTAAAGGCGTGGATTTTTATAAAAATATTTTTTCAAGGCGTGGATTTTTATAAAAAAAAAATTTCAAGGCGTGGATTTTTATAAAAATATTTTTTCAAGGCGTGGATTTTTATAAAAATATTTTTTCAAGGCGTGGATTTTTATAAAAATATGTGCGTTTTCAAGGCGTGGATTTTTATAAAAATATTTTTTTCAAGGCGTGGATTTTTATAAAAATATTTTTTTAAAGGCGTGGATTTTTATAAAAATATTTTTTTCAAGGCGTGGATTTTTATAAAAATATTTTTTTCAAGGCGTGGATTTTTATAAAAATATTTTTTTCAAGGCGTGGATTTTTATAAAAATATTTTTTTAAAGGCGTGGATTTTTATAAAAATATTTTTTTCAAGGCGTGGATTTTTATAAAAATATTTTTTTCAAGGCGTGGATTTTTATAAAAATATTTTTTTTTTAAGGCGTGGATTTTTATAAAAATATTTTTTTTCAAGGCGTGGATTTTTATAAAAATATTTTTTTTCAAGGCGTGGATTTTTATAAAAATATTTTTTCAAGGCGTGGATTTTTATAAAAATATTTTTTCAAGGCGTGGATTTTTATAAAAATATTTTTTTCAAGGCGTGGATTTTTAAAAAAATATTTTTGCAAGGCGTGGATTTTTATAAAAAATATTTTTTCAAGGCGTGGATTTTTATAAAAAATATTTTTTCAAGGCGTGGATTTTTATAAAAATATTTTTTCAAGGCCTGGATTTTTATAAAAAATATTTTTTTCAAGGCGTGGATTTTTATAAAAATATTTTTTTCACGGCGTGGATTTTTATAAAAAATATTTTTTCAAGGCGTGGATTTTTATAAAAATATTTTTTTCAAGGCGTGGATTTTTATAAAAAATATTTTTTCAAGGCGTGGATTTTTATAAAAAATAGTTTTTCAAGGCGTGGATTTTTATAAAAATATTTTTTCAAGGCTTGGTTTTTATAAAAATATTTTTTTCAAGGCTTGGATTTTTATAAAAATATTTTTTCAAGGCGTGGATTTTTATAAAAAATATTTTTTCAAGGCGTGGATTTTTATAAAAAATATTTTTTCAAGGCGTGGATTTTTATAAAAAATATTTTTTCAAGGCGTGGATTTTTATAAAAATATTTTTTCAAGGCGTGGATTTTTATAAAAAATATTTTTTCAAGGCGTGGATTTTTATAAAAATATTTTTTCAAAGTGTGGATTTTTTCAAGGCGTGGATTTTTATAAAAATATTTTTTCAAAGTGTGGATTTTTTCAAGGCGTGGATTTTTATAAAAATATTTTTTCAAGGCGTGGATTTTTATAAAAATATTTTTTCAAAGTGTGGATTTTTTCAAGGCGTGGATTTTTATAAAAATATTTTTTCAAGGCGTGGATTTTTATAAAAATATTTTTTCAAGGCGTGGATTTTTATAAAAATATTTTTTCAAGGCGTGGATTTTTATAAAAATATTTTTTCAAGGCGTGGATTTTTATAAAAATATTTTTTCAAGGCGTGGATTTTTATAAAAATATTTTTTCAAGGCGTGGATTTTTATAAAAATATTTTTTCAAGGTGTGGATTTTTTAAAGAATTTTTTCAAGGTGTGGATTTTTTAAAGAAGATTTTTTCAAGGCGTGGATTTTTATAAAAATATTTTTTCAAGGCGTGGATTTTTATAAAAATATTTTTTCAAGGTGTGGATTTTTTCAAGGCGTGGATTTTTATAAAAATATTTTTTCAAGGCGTGGATTTTTATAAAAATATTTTTTCAAGGCGTGGATTTTCATAAAAATATTTTTTCAAGGCGTGGATTTTCATAAAAATATTTTTTCAAGGCGTGGATTTTTATAAAAATATTTTTTCAAGGCGTGGATTTTTATAAAAATATTTTTTCAAGGCCTGGATTTTTATAAAAATATTTTTTCAAGTCCTGGATTTTTTTAAAAATATTTTTTCAAGTCCTGGATTTTTTTAAAAATATTTTTTCAAGGTGTGGATTTTTATAAAAATATTTTCTTTCTTTCTATTTTCAGGCCTGCCTGGGTGGGTCTGCCCTGCTCTCCTACAAAAACCGCCATCTACTGAAAGGCTTAGAAAAATCCGATTCCTTTTCCTGGAACCCCCATAAATCTCTAGGTGCTCCCTTGCAGTGTGCCCTATTTCTGACCCGCCATGCTGAGCTGCTGCCTCAGGCCAATAGTACCGCCGTGCATTATCTCTTCCAACAGGATAAATTCTATGACGTGTCCTATGATACGGGCAATAAGAGTATACAGTGTGGCCGAAAAATTGACGCTTTCAAATTTTGGATTATGCTCAAGGCCCGAGGTTATGGCAGCTTCGGACGTCTGGTCGATCATGCTTTGGATATTTCAAAGCTGTTTATGGAGAAAATGAAACAAAGACAGGGTTATCGTTTGGTCCTCGACGACTATCAATATTCGAATGTGTGTTTCTGGTATGTGCCGAAGGCGATGAGGAACCAAAGGGAGGATGAGCAGTGGTGGCAGAAGTTGTATGAGGTAGGGTCTTCTATTTTCGTATATTTTTAAAATTTATTAATTTTGTTTCTGGATTTTCTAGGTGGCCCCCAAAGTCAAGGAACTGATGATACGCCAGGGTACCCTCATGCTGGGCTATTCCCCCTTGCAGTACCGCAACATTGGCAATTTCTTCCGCATGGTCTTCACCTGTTTCCCAGTGCTGCAGGACAGCGAATTGGATTGGATTTTGGATGAAATTGAAAGATTGGCTGAAAGCTGTTGTCCCTAAAGGAGAGACGGGGGAACTTGGGACCCATTTTTTTTCTTCTTCTTCAATATTATCTGCCATATGTTATTAGTATTTAGGTTAGACTTAGGTTTTAGTTTTGTAGGCAACATTATGTGTATTATTTTTCCGATCAATATAAAAAACTATTAATTGGCATATGGAGGCCGAACTTCTTTTGGTGGTTCATAATCCGCACAACAAGCTATTAAGCCATTAAGGCTAAGTACCCTGAACATTACATTACGAAAACTTCGACACTTCATTACGACGACGACGATTTCGTGTCATTGCCTAATGTCGTGTATCGAAAAACAATGCTAGCAGACGTTTGGCTGACGCCTCACATCACGTCGTGATACATTTGTGTTAATGATGCTGGTGGTACTCTGGCACTGACATCTCGAAAAAAACAACAACAAAAACCAAACTTCAATGTCTTCAATTACCCATGGCATGGAAGATGTTGGAAATTATGTTTACGCTTCGATTTTTTTGCGAACTTAGTTTTTTGGTGCAGGGTTCGTATGGACCGAACAAAGACTCCAACGCAGTTGACACATATGTGTACCGGAAAGTTTGAAGGGGATACGATTCGATTAAGGGGTCAGGTGGGAATGACTTTTTAAAACAAAAAAAGGAAAAAGATTTCCAAGCGCGTCGGTCTTGTGCGCATCTCCTCCAATTTGAAAGACCACGTTCCAAGATATTGTTTTCTACTTGGCCTTCCCCTTCTACGGGAACCATCAGTAGGCTCGCCTTTATATGCCTTTTGGGCTGGGGCATTCTCATTCATTTGCACAACATGGCCTAGCCATCGTAGTCGCTGCAGCTCAATACGACCGACTATGCCGATGTCCGCGTATAAATTGTAAAGCTCGTGGTTCATTCGACGCCGATCGGCCCGTAGAACTTTCGGAGAATTTTTCTTTCAAACAACCCCAAGAGCTGCCTCATCTGCTTGCGCAAGTAACCATGCTTCAGATCCATATAACAGCACGGGTAGTATCAGCGTTTTGTAAAATGTGAATTTGGTCTGGCGGGAGGTGGCCTTGTTTCTAAACTGCTTACTTCGACCATAGTAGCATCTGTTGGCCATCACAATCCTTTTCCGAATTTCAAAACTGATGTCATTCGTTTTATTTATGGCGGTACCAAGGTATATAACATCTTTAACTACCTCGAAGCTGTAGTTCTTAAGTTCCACAGTTGGTCCGAGTCCACTGGAAGTCTTGTGTGCTGATACCATTAGCTTGGCCTTCTCGTCGTTTACTGTCAGATCCATCTTGGCAGACTTCTTTTCGATTTGTTCAAAGGCGGCTATTACCGCTCGCAATGTTCGTCCCATTATATCGATGTTATCGGCGTAGGTGAGTAACATATGTTGTTTGGTATACAGAGTGTCATTTCTTTTCACCCTTGCCTATCGTATGACCTTCTCCAGCAGGATGTTAAAAAGGTCGCATGACAAACTGTCACTTTGTCTGAATCCTCGTTCGGTATTGAAGGTCTCCGATAGGTCCTTTCCCACTCTAACTGCTGACCTTGTGCCACTTACAATTATCCTGTATAGCTGTATTAATTTTGCAGGAATGCCGAACATAGACATGGCTTTAAACACCTCTGAATGGATAGGGCTGTCGAATGCGGCTTTATAGTCGACAAATAGGTGGTATGTGTCGATGTGTTTTTCGTGGGTCTTTTCCAGGATTTGACGCAAAGTGAAAATCTGGTCAATGGTGGTTTTGCCAGCTCTGAAGCCGCTTTAATATGGTCCGAAGATGTCATTGACTATTGGCATCAATCGTTCACACAGCACACTGGATAGCACTTTATATGCGATGGGAAGAAGGTTAATTCCTCCATAGTAGGCACCTTTTTATGTACACGGGACATAGGATGCTGAGGTTCCAATCATTGGGCATGCATTCATCTAGCCAAATTGTACTAATCAGCTGGTGCATGCTTCAGACCAGCATCTGACCACCAGTCTTGGATAGTTCGGCTTGTAACCCATCGGCACCTGCTCCTTTCTTATTCTTCAGCCGATTGATTGCTATTCTGACTTCATCTTGGCTATGTGGTATACACTCCATACCGTCATCTATTATTGGTTCTGAGGTATCCTCTTCACCGCTACTATTTGATACCAGAAGTTTCTCAAAATGCTCCTTCCAGATCCTCAACACGCTGTCTGTATCTGTCACGAGGTTTCCTTCTTTATCTCTACAGGAGGATGTGCCTTCGGTTTGGTGTTTTACTCGTTGGTAAAATTTCCGGACTTCATTCTGACTCCTGTACATCTCGATTAGCTCACGCTCACGTTTTTCTTGTTCTTTCTTCTGAAAATACGTTTCTCCTCTCTCCTTTTCTCTCGATAGTTCTCCATCGCATTGCGTATTGCTACTGTCTGCAGGGTTGCCCTATACGCGGCGTTTTTCATATCAGTAGCATTGCGACACTTCAGATCGTACCACGGATTTCCAAGTATTGCTTTTGCTGCAGTTTGTAGGGAGTGGACAATTCTCTGCCACTGTGCTTCTATACTATTTTCGGGACAAGAAGTGCTTTCTTCAAGCAGTTGGGTAAGTTGAGCGGAGTTGGCCTCGGCTACCTGTTGTGTTTGCAGCTTTTCGACGTCGAGTTTCCGTGTTGTGTTAGATCGCAACTTTGCTGCAACATTAAGACGTGTGCGAACTTTGGCTGCCACAAGATAATGGTCCGAATCGATATTCGCTCCTCGGATCTATCGAACGTCTAATACACTGGATGAATGCCTTCCATCTATCACAACATGGACAATTTGATTTCTCGTTGCTTGATCAGGAGAAATCCGGGTGGCCTTGTGTATATCGAGATGCTCGAATCTGGTGCTGCAAACAACCATGTTTTTGCTGCCGCGAAGTCAATCAACCTCATGCCGTTGCCGGATGTTTCTTCATGAAGGCTGAATTTTCCCACAGTGGGGCCAAAAATATTTTCCCTTCCGATTTTTGTATTAAAATCTTCCAGCAGAATTTTAATGTCATGGCCAGGGCAGCGATCATATGCTGTTTCTAGGTGGCCATAAAATATGTCTTTGGTCTGCTCATCTTTATCTTCGGTCGGAGCATAGGTGCAAATAAGACTAATTTCGCTTTTATGCGGATAATAGAAATTCGCTCATCTACTGCAGTGAATCTGGAGACAAGGTCTTTTGTTCTCCTGTTCACCTTAAATCCGCAGCCAAATTCATGTCTAGTTCAATGGCAGCTATAATACAGGGCGTAATCCATCTGATTTACTTACGCCAGTCGCTTTCCATCGCATTTGCTGTAAGGCAATAATATCGGCTTTGAGTACTTCTTGAGTACATCCGCCAATGCGAAAACTGCGCCTGTTATGTACAAGGTGCGCATATTCAGATTTGCAGATTGTAGTTCTTTATACGTTTGCGGGGGTCATCAACATTAGGGGGGTTTGGTTTTCTTTTTTTTTTGCTTTTTCATAGTTGGTTGGGTTTCGCGAGTGTGGGCAACTAACCCGACGCCTCAACCGATTTTTTTATAGTTCTTATGGTGAACTCGCGGTACATATTAGGTCACTATTTCAACGGGTGATGAAAAATAGCTACCCCAGGTGAGACCGCGGGGAGGTCAGTGTTCACAATTGAGATGAAAGAGGGACCAAGATAAGCCTGGACTTCGCCATGTTAAAGCCAATAAGAGCCGTTACTTGGTATCTATCATCCCTCACGCCACCCCCAAGATGAAGTCAGAATAGCAATTAATCGGCTGAAGAGTAATAAAGCAGCAGGAGCCTACGGGTTACCAGCCGAACTATTTAAGACTGGTGGTCAGATGCTGGTCAGGAGCATACATCAGCTGATTAGTACAATTTGGCTAGAGAAATGCATGCCCAATGATTGGAACCTCAGCTTTCTGTGTCCCGTGCACAAAAAAGGAGACAAGACGATATGTGCCAACTATAGAGAAATAAGTCTCCTTCCCATCGCATATAAAGTGCTATCCAGCGCACTGTGTGAACGACTGAAGCCAATGGTCAATGACATTATTGGACCATACCAATGCGGCTTCGGACCTGAAAAATCCACCATTGACCAGATTTTCACTCTGCGCCAAATCCTGAAAAAGACCCACTAAAAACATATCGACACATATCACATATTCGTCGACTATAAGGCCGCTTTCGACAGCCCTATCCGTTCAGAGGTGTATAAACCCATGTATATGTTCGGCATTCCTGCAAAATTAATACGGCTATGCAGGATAACTTTAACTGGCACAAGGTCAGCAGTTAAAGTCGCAAAAGACCTATCGGATCCGAACGAGGATTCATACCGAACGAGGATTCAGACAAAGTGACAGTTGGTCGTGTGATCTTTTTAACATCCTGCTGGAAAAGATCGTAGGAGAGGCAAAAGAGAACAGAAGTGGCACTCTGTGCACCAAGCAACACATGTTACTTGCCTACGCCGATGACATCGAGATAATGGGTCGAACATTGACAGCGGTAACAACCACATTTGAACAATTTGAGAAGGAGTCTGGCAAAGTGGGTCTGGCAGTAAACGGCGAGAAGACCAAGCTGATGGTATCAACGCGCAAGACGTCCAGTAGACTCGGACCAACTGTGGAACTTGAGAACTACAGCTTCGAGGTAGTCAAAGATTTTATATACCTTGGTGCCGCCATAAACAAAACGAATGACATCAGTTTTGAAATTCGGAGGAGTATAGTGATGGCCAACCGATGCTACTATGGTCTGAGCAAACATCTCCTGCCAAACCAAAGTCACACTCTACATGACGCTTATACTACCCGTGCTGTTATATGGATCTGAAGCATGAGTACTTGAACAAGCAGATGAGGCAGCTCTTGGGGTGTTTAAAAGAAAAATTCTCCGAAAGATCTATGGGCCGATCTGCGTTGATGGTGAATATCGCCGTCGAATGAACCATGAGTTGTACGAGCTATTCTCGGACATCGACATTGTTAGACGTA